GTAATTATTTATTTTAAAACTAACATCATCTTTTCATATTTACCCCTATAGTATTTCACACTAAAATAAATATAAAATAATTTATTCAATAGGGTACTTTTCAAAAAAAAAATAATAATTTTAAAAGATTAAAAATACTTTATTTTTTTAAGCATTTAATATTTTAAAAAATACTTTATATTTTTAAATGAAGAGAGTATATACGATTTGTCTCATACTTCATGGGACATATAAAATTTAGTTCAGTTACTACAATTCTTGTAAGAAAAACATATAACTATTATTTTATCATTTTTTTTGCTTCTATTATAATAAAACCACTAGTATTGCAAAAAATAACAGGAGATATTGTTCTGAAAAAAATGTTTAATTTATTTAAAAAAGATACTGAAACATCGGAAACTTCCTGCCGTGGCGTATGTGATCTGCTTGTAAATAAATAGGACATCCAATAAATAACAAGCTTAATTACTTGACATTTTAATGTTCTTGTTTTTATTTGGTAAACACAAACGATGAAAGCTATCTGACAGTTTAGCGTAATTAATTGTAGCTGCAAATGATTGACTTCAAAATTGGATAACTCTCAATTTGAAGCATAATTTATACCCAAATGTCATCATCATTATATATTCATATGTTGCCAGTTTGAACCATTCAAATCCGGCGGCTATTGAGAGTTGAGACTGTGACCCATCTCAGTAAGGATAGAGACAAAAGGGTCCCAAAATAAATTATTCCTATTAATTAATATTACTTTATATATACTTTATAGAAAGTTTTGCACTAATTATATAATATAGCTAATTTATTAATATTTATAAAATACCCAAGACTCACGGTGAGTTGATTTAAGCATTAGTTTGGTTTTATAATGAAATTCCAATAAAAATTATTGAAGAGAGCATGATTGATAATTATAAATATATTGGTATCAATGTTTAGCCGTATAAAAAATATTCACACCTAATTTAATTATAACATTGGAATATAAATATTACATCAATTTAAACATATATTATTATATATATTTGTGTACTAAAAAAAAAAGGTTACTTGAACACATGTATCACATCATAAATTGTCTGAAAAATTGGTTTATTGTAACTTGTTTATATATTGGTTAAGACTTAAGAATATACTTAAACTCATATATTTAATATATTTTTTATTAAATCAAATTAAGACATGTAGATTTTAATACATTAATAATATCAATAATAATATTTTGTTATAGATTAAGTAGTTTATAAAAGATATACATATTTTAATTTAATTAGAAACAACAATCTTAAATATATAAGACTAAGTTTATAAATTTTTTTTATATGTTATATATTAGAAAAGGCTTTTGGTTAACACTTATTTGTGACTTTAATTTTTGAACAGAAAGAGAGTACATGTTGTTTTTAAGTTTTACCTTCACTGTCAGCTTGTCATAGATTGACGGCTCACAATATCATTGTATCTGAAGGTTTTATATATATTTTTTTCATTTAAAAGTATAAAATATTTTTAATTAAATTTTATTCTTTAATAAAGTAATTATTTATTTTTAAATTAACTTTATCTTTTTATATTTATCCTTATTAAACACTCTATAATAAATATAAAATTATTATTAATAGAGATATTTTTTAAAAAAGCAATGATTACATGTCGAAAGATTAAAAATGCCTTACATTTTTAAATATTAAACTTCTCAAAAAATACTTTATGTTTTTTAATAGAAGGAGTAGGAAAGTGGCATACCAAGACCTTTTAAAATGTTATTACATTTAAGGACTAAAAGTTATTAAAAATCTCAAAAAGAACCATAGGATAGACTGAAATTTAAAATAAATGGAATTGACTAAACTATTTTTTAATTAAAAACATCGAAATATTGCTTTGTAATATAAAACATTTCTATATTATTCATAAATAAGGGTATAATATAAAGATGGTCATAAACATTGGTTTCTACTTCTTCTGCTTGTTTTTTTTTTTTGAAATTCAGATAAGTAATATTTACAATAAAACCATTATAATCAAATGAAAACAAAGTAAAGCCATGAAATACAAAAGAAAGATACAGACAACATCAACCTAGAAATTAGAAAGGTCCCCATTGCTAAATTGTGGTTTATGCAGATGATAAGTTTTAATGTTCATGTAAGAATAATACGTAACTAGCTCAAAAATTAATCCATATGAAAATTTTAAAAGCACGGTGAGCAAATAAATATAAATAAGTTCAATGAGAAGTATCCTATAGGATTTCTTGTTTTTTGAATTACAATGACCAGACGCAAGGTAACAAAGTACAACTAATTAATGACAAAAGAAGAAATTCTTTCATCATCCATGGCTTCAATACAATAAGGGGGTGGTTGATATTAAAGCTAGTGATTAAGGTTAACCTAAATCTAAAAGGTTAAAACTTAAATAGGTTAGGATACTATTAAGTCTGATTACACCTTAGGTTTTTTTTTTTTTTTGCAAAGCTTAGTTTTGACCCTTAAAATTGGAGAGTGTTTCTGCAAGGCTCAGCCCTATTTTTTTTTTCAATTTAAAATTTAAAAAAATTTATTTGTAATTTCAAAAAGAAGTTATTACATATAAAGTCTACGAAAATAAATTTAAATAAATTCACATCACAACTATAAACAAATATGTAAAACTTAAGCATTCAAGTTTAATATCAAAATCAATACTAATAAAAATTAGACTTTGTTAATATAATTGGCAAAATCTTAAAGATCATCATCATCATTATTATCAATATTAATATAATTTTATCTTTCTTTTTGTAGAGCGTCCATGGTGATAAATATATTAAACTTTTAATTAGTCTTTATTTTTTTTAAACTAAATCTTTTTTTTTTAAATAACATGGCTTAAAGGGCCAACCTCAAATTATCATTTTTTACTCTAACATAATGGCCCAATTCTTATTATTTTCGGATTTAAAAGAGTTAATTCAATAAGCTTGGCCCTAATTGTAAGCTTTAGGGGATATTCTTTAGGATTTGAAAGACTGAAGTTCTTGTAGCTTTGTTTTTGAAAAAAATCATGTGCATGAGTTATAATAAAGCAATGAAAGTGCAAGCAAACAAAAATATATAAATGAAATACATAAACAAGACTTAAAAACCAGCAAACAAGCAGACACCAAATGCTCCAAAAAAGACATAGATGTAAATAAAAATTTTCTATTCAAATGACTTATGTTATAAAATGGACGGAGTAAAAGCACTAGGGGTAGATTGGGAATGAATATGTAATGTTTAATAAATAAAAGATTATTTTTCCGAAAGAAAATATGAAATATAACTGTCTTATTTTCTTCTTTTTTTGATATTACCATCTTATTTTTTTTTTATACACGCACAAACACTTCTTTTCATAAAATATTTTTTTTGTGTGTACCAAACATTGCCATGAAATATTTGTTAGGAAAAACAAGGTAACCTAGTTAAGAACTTTGACATTTTAATCAGTTCAATTCATTTTTAATTTCAGTAAAAAACGATGGACCCGTTAGAAATTTTAATAATTTAGAGTCCTTAAATGTAATAAACTCTCTTAGATGTCCTTAAATGCCATTTCCCCCTCAAATGGAAAGCCAGGTCACCGCCTAACAAAAGTCTGGAACACGGACTAATATAAAAAATTAATCTATCTATTAAAATCATAAAATTTCATGTAAAAAATACATTTTTTACTTTTCTAATAAGAATAAAAAAAGAAAAATAATAATAATAAAAATCACTTTCTTGCCAAATAGCAGAAACCCAACGGCTCCAACGTTTACCATTTGAGCAGCCCCATTGGCAGATGATCTTTGTCGTATTAAGTATGCTATTTTGTGCCCTCAATTATTAAGTCAAATATCACATTCTTAATACTAACGTGCGCCCACACCGACCTTTCTCATTGTTTTCATCACTCACTACTCTACTCCTCAGCACTAACCAAGACTATCCTTTTGACCAGTTTCTTCCTACCGGCTCACGTTAGACTCGTCCCCCCCGCTTGAATCACGGAGAGCGTCACCGGGAAAAAAAACCTTTTTTTTTTTTGGTTTTTTTCTTTTATGAGATTGAGTTGAGTTTCTTTAAATAACGGTAATATAGAATGAGTGGTAGTTAACAAGCACTTGCTGAGAAGACCCAGATAGAGTGTCCCGGAAGTTTTCGGGTGGGTTTCTGAATAGTCAAGCTCCAAGTTGATTCTCCTGATGAGCAGATAGGAGCGCCCAGAGAAAGGTAAGACAATTATATGAGAACTCAATAAGAATTCGAATTTCATGTAAAATCTGAAACTTCCTTTTGTGATGTATCCTGGGTAAAAATGGGGAAAAGAAAAATGTGCTTCTTGTTTCATGATTTTTCTGGAGAAATTCTGAGAATTGTTACCTGGGTTGGGGGCGGGTCTAGGGAAAATTTAATGTTTTAATTTGTCAAATGCCTGGTGTTCTGGGAAGCGTCTATGTAGATCTTATGGTTTATGAGTTTCTGGTTTTTCATCTATCTTGTGTTTTGAGGACTGGGTATGCTTTGAAAATTCATAATCTTGTATGGTTGTTGTCAAGAGAGTTAAGACTGTGGATGGATGCTTCTTACATAGAATCAGAGCTGGCAATGTATTCTTTGGGTGGTTTATTTTAGTTCAACCTGAAATGAACTGCAGAAGACTTAGCTTATCAGGGGCAATCATTGCGTAATTCAAGAGATTGAAGAGGCAAAAGTAGGACTTTTTCTCTCCAAAATGGAATTGTTGGTTCTTCTGTTTTGGATACGAGATGTTAATGGAGAAAAGGGGAAGAGATGATTCAGATATTGAGTTGTTTGGGGAGCTGAAGATCCAAATTATTGGAATGACTCAATTTTATGTTCATAACCACACATCTCTTTTGCAGTGTCTGGAAGAGGGAGAAATGGTAAAAAACACAGCCTACTAATTAAAATGTAATGTGAGTTTCTAAAATAAACATTCCAATCCCTTGAATCTGGTTTGATTGCTAATCCCATTCTTTCGCTCAATTTCATTTTTCACTATACAACACGAGCAACTTTCTTCCCTTACTGTTTGGAAATGGATGTTATATCAACACTCTTCTTTTGCCATGGTATCACTGAGCAAAGAACTTATAAAATTACAAATCGCCCCTCTCAATTATTTCCCTACAAGATCGTGGATAATTAACTACTTTTCTTCTTTCAATTTTCTTTTCAAAGACATGATCTTTTGAATACTTTCTTTCCTCATCAAGGTTCACAAGTTACAGTTTTTTCCTTTTAATCTACAGAGTAGCCCTTGAGTGCACAGAATGTGCTGAAAGGTCGACCATGTTCTTCTGTACAAATTCTTTATTTTTGCCTGCCTTCTGTACAAGTTCATATGTGACACTTGCCATAGAACTTCGTGCAGTCAAAAAGAACTTCAAGACACTATTAGGCTGCAGAAGAGATTTCTGTTCGCTTTTAAGTATAATTACACATGTTAACTGACTCTTAACCCATGAAGTAATAATCCATGAGAGGGGGTAATGGTTTCACTAATTACCAATTTCTGAATGATAATGTACCGATTCCTAAAGTCAGGCTATTTCGTTTCCACCACTGCAATTTCAGTTTTAGCTTGGGGCCAAGCTGTAGAACCAAGAGATACTTGTTAGCTATGGATGATTATACTGATGAAGCTAAAGGTGGATCATATTTTGCGGAAGCAGCTTTTGAGAAACTCTACTCACTTGAAGGCTTCTCCACTAAGGAACATGATACGCAAGAGCTGGATGTTTTCTTGCAAGCTTTAGCAGAAGTTGACTTTTGCTTAGCATATTCTTCTGAGAAGCTGATGAACTTGCATAAATTGCTTATCCATCTGTTGAGCCAGGAAAACGATCTTGAAGCAGTGGATTTAAAGAATAACTGCATCTCAATAGACTTCATTGAAAAGGCATTTGCATTTGATATTTTGTTAGGCATATTAGATTCTGAGGTAAGAGAGCTGGACAATTTCATGGACACTCTTCAAGCTGAAATAGTTGATGCTCGTCATAAAATGCTTTCATGCAGAGATTTGAAATTTCCCTTCACAATGGAAGAAAAATTGCATGACTCTGAAGAGTCTGTGAAGGATTTTCAGCAGCAATTGTTGGAGTTGAAGATGCAGTCATATTACGGAAAACCCTCGAGGCTTTTCAACATGAGAATTGTAAGTTGAAGGTTCTTCTTAGTTATTTTTGTTCTTAATTTCTGTTTAATCATTTTAATATGAAAATTGTTTCCCAGTCTTGGACAACTATTTAACCCTTTGAGACATCCATGCAAACAGGGGAAACAGGGAAGGGTATGAATTTATCAGAAAATGGCCAACTGACCAATACTAAAGTAGAATCAAATGATCAGATTGTTGAGCAGCGAAGATATATTCTTCGGATGCTAGAGAAGTCTTTAGCAAGGGAGGTAGATCTTGAGAAGAAGGTAGCAGAATCAAGAGAACATGAAGATCTAAAATTGAAACTACACTACACAGAACAATTATCAATGCGCATGGAAGAAGCTGCAGAATTTGTTTGGGGAAGATTTCTAGAGGCAGAAACTGCAGCTGAGATGCTCATGGGGATTTCTAAAGATCTGATGGGACGTCTCCAGATAGCTGAGCTTAACCTAAATGGTTCTACTCAACGAGAAAATGAGTTGAAATTAAAAGTTCAAACTTGCATAGAAGGACTCAAGGATAAAGATTCTTCTCTAGAGAAGCTTGAGCGTATTAATGCTGAGCTCATGAAGGAAAATTGCTGAAGTGCAAGTTTTGAGGGAAAAGGTGAAAAATCTTGAAGAAGAACGAAAAGAATTCGAACTCCATCTATCCGCCGTAACTTCTGAGAATGAAACTAATCAAGAGCATCTTATTGAAATGGAAAATCATATTGAGTCATTGAAAGAAAGCATTTATACAGCAGAAACTAGGGCTGAGAGTGCTGAGGCGAAGGCTACACAGTTAACTGAGACTAACTTGGAACTTACTGAAGAGCTGCATTTTCTTAAAGGCATTGCTAGTAATGCAGAAAAAAAGGTGGGTTCACTAGAGAAGCAAATAAGGGAATCAGAGATTCAACTACAGAATGCAAAGGCATCGTCTGAAGCTAGCCAAGAACAGCAGAAAAAGTTATACTCAGCAATATGGGATATGGAATTATTAATTGAAGAGCTAAAATCAAAGGTATCAAAGCCGGAAAGTAAGACAGAAAGTGCAGAAGAGCCTTGCATTGTGTTATCAGAAACTAATGAAGAACTAATTAAAGAATTAGATCTCCTGAGGTCTAGAATTAAAAGCTTGGAAACATCTTTGGACCAAGCTAACAAGTCAAAAATTTCAAGTGCAAAAGAAATCAATGTTAGAACCAAGTTTATCATGGATATGGTCATGCAACTAACCATCGAAAGGGAACATGTCCATAAACAGGTAATGGCTTCCTCTATAATTTGCTAGTGCAATTTGACCTTTAGTTTGTGTAATGCTTTCTATTAAATTAAGCAGAAATTGCAATAAAAAATTATGATTCATAAAATTGATAGTAAATCATGAAGAGTGGAACTTATGCCACTACTTGCACCAGGGATTTTATTCTGAATGATGGAATAAGAATTTCCTTGGGAGACAGAACCCAAAAGGAAAATCATTTTTGTAAATTTCATTGCGTTGGTTGATTTATTTTATGATGTATTAGGAATTATTGATTATTCATCTATGGTCCATCATATGGAAAATCTAACGGGATGCTTTTATTTTTGGGGGCTGTATGTGCTTCATGCAGTTATGTACTTTAAAAATAGAGAACAGAAGTTTGGCAGAAAAGCTAAAGAATATGAAAAAGGATCTCCCTCTAGATTCCTGCCACGTTGGATTAAATAATAGCAATGATGATCAAGCTTCTAACGTTGACTCAAGCAATGGTAGCTGTACAAAATCATCTGATGAAGAAGGAAAAGATATTTTAAATCAAAATTTTCAGGTACTTTTTTTAGTCAGTCTGATATGTCCTGGTCCCATTCATGACCCTGACTGGAATTAGTTTATATTACAAAGTTGATCACCATTACCATATAATTTCTTGAACTCACTGAAGCTCAATTTATCAATATGTTATATATACCAGAATCATTTAAGAAACCGATGTTCTTTATTATCCTGCCCAGCTTGGTACCTTTTATTCTAGGCCGTAGTTAGTGTAATTCAAGTGTTCTTTAAGCCATCAGAATTCGCATCATTCTATTTCATTTTATGTTATCTTGGAATCTATGGTGGTGACACATTTCATTAATAAGAAGCAATATTGTATCTGTGATGTGAATATAAAAACACAGTTATCCTTGTTATATCCAACGAGACTAACTACAATATATATAGTTATCTAACGCCTGGTTTACTATATTTAGATTTAAATCAAGAATGATAGATCTGCTATATTTAGGTTGTTTAAGGAATAACTTAGTGAGATCCAAGGCTTAATGAACCTACTTCTAGATTCGGTTCTTTCTGTCTATCTGGCCCCGTTTTGTTTTCATAAATTTTCCAGTTTGCAAGGGTAATTGTTAAAATTGATCAATAATCAATTAGTTTCCATATTTATCATATTCTAATAATTAGATATTGTAATTACTTTGGAAATTATAAAAATTTGTGAATTAGCATATTTCACTATCTAAAGTTTGTAAATCTAGACTCAGCATTGATAGATTGAAATGCAAAAATTGGGATTAAAACTTTTTTCTTCTTTGCAATTTTCTTCCCTTGCTTAAATTTTTTTGGTTTCAACAATCAGGTGGATGAACCATCCGAAGATGCAAGCTCTGAAACTAAAGTAGAATCTTCCATTCCATCAGAGAAGTCTGGAAAATTTGGCACCTTAGCATTTTTTTCAATGGCAATTATTGTGCTACTGGCTTCTTTTTTAGCCACCTTCTTGTTTGATAAAGAAACCTTACAATTTTTGAGAACATTGATGGTTAAGTCATGACTTGATGACTTGACCATTCAAGAAATTTGCTTCTTGTGCTCTTGTGAAGTCATTTCACTTCTGTATTGTGTGTTCATATATTTATGTAGCCATAGTATTGGTGTGATTCATTGTCACAATTGATTTGTACATAATTTTATCAGCATTTCAAGAATCTGCATTTGTTGAATTTTCAAATAATGTAAAAAAATATATGAACTGAGATGTGCTGTAGTCATCCAAAGAATCCAAGAATCAGAAAAAGGGAAGCTTGTTCATGCATAGGTTGTCAGTGTAGATCTTAATTGTTGTTTCATATACAAAAGGAAGTCTCTTTTTTTGGGTCAAGAGCAAAGAGTATACAAAAGAGCTTAAAAGAGTGAAAAGCTCACAGGATTTTGAAAAGTCGACACATTTTCCTGATTTAAGATATTTGAGAATTGATAAAATATTGTTGTTAGTAAAATAGAAAAAAAAATGCGATTTATGTCTCAAAGGCTCACCAAAACTTCAAAAATTACTTATTAAAGTACTTTGTTTTTGATACAATTATTTAATATTCAGTATTATTAAATTCGATTTGTGTATTGTCAACCGTAGTCATTGTGTTGGGCCAAAAAAACCGTAGTCATTGTGGCTTATTGCCTTGCTATATTATAATAGTGTCCCGACTAAAAGTTTGCCTGCATGTAATTCAAATTCATGGAAGATCTATTTTGTGATCATAAATTCATGACAAGTAACAACCTCAATACATATGAGTATCAATATTTTCTCATTTCACTTATAATATAAATATTAAATGCATAGGTAATGTATAAGAAACTGATTGATCAATATTCTTTTCCTTTTTTTTAATTATTGAAGCATGGAAAGTTTGGAGAATTTAGCAATTTACAACGGACTTAAGGAGATAAACCCCCTTTCAAATATTCAAACACTAAAAGTTTAAAAACAATGTAGATTCTAAAATATTTTTCTGACGTATAAATAAATAATGAGGGGGAAATGTCAAGTGTTGAATTGTGTTTTTTTTTTAATTAAAAGGCTGAATTTATGTATGTATTACAAAATATATTTTATAATAGTAAGTCAGTAAGATGTTTGATATAAGCTTCATATACAGTTTGAAGTTAATACATCACTTATTGTTGTTAAATGGATTATATATAAAAAAACTAAACGCAAATGAGTTTTGAGGTCCTAAATTGACTCTGCAAACCTGAAGTTTTATATTTATTTGGATGACTTAAAATTTATTTGTGAAAAATCAAATATTACTCTAAAACTGGGTTTTAAAAACAGGGGAAAAATTTATTACTTTGCAGAAAATTAGATTTTATAAAGGAGAATGACAAGCAAGGACCTTGTAAAAATTAAAAACTTTAACATTGAAATATGGTAGAGGGAGTATTGAAATTTAGGAACATCAATATTAAAAATTTTTAATTTGACATTAATGTTTTTATTTGTCATTTTTTTCTTTGATTATAAATGAAAAGATAAGTTGTGGTGTGGGTTAACAACCAGCTAGACGTTAAAGAAATTTCATAAAATTCACTAGCAACCTCAGAGCAGCGCATCTGGTGTAGTGGTATCATAGTACCCTCCCACGGTACTGACCGGGGTTCGATTCCCCGGATGCGCAATCTCTCTATCTCTTTCTGTGTTGAAAATTTTGTTAACTTCTCATCTGTGCCATTTAATTGACGCATTTTCTGAATGTAGACATAGCCATCACTTGCAAAAAGAAAAATAGTAAAACTTCAACATCAGAGTTAAAATGTAGGGAAAAAACTTATACATTTAACCTTATTTTATATATTTAATATATTTATTTTTAATTAAATTAAGACATGTGAATTTTGCATAAATTATTTATTCTATAATAAATTTTTATTATTAATTTTATTAATATATTAAGATTCACCTGTCATGATTTAATTGGATATAAATATGTTAAGTATATAAGACTAAGTAAATAAGTCTTACCGTAAAATATAATATGTATGTTAATTATTGTTGAATCTAGCTGAATGGACTAGTTTTTCATAATGTAACAAATTAATATTCAAAAGCCCATTAGGAAAGGCATTCTCCAGTGTTTGATTGTATATTAAATATAATTGTTTTCAATAAGAGAATATCTATGTGTGACTAAAAAAGAGTAGGAAAGAAAAAGAAAAAAATACAATCTTTGATATTATAATTTTATTGAGTTTTATTTTTAGTTTTTTGTAGTTTTTAGTTTCAGAAAGATTGAGCAACTTTTGTTTTTCAGGCTCCTATAGTTTTTATTTTTTAGTAGTTTTAGTTTTTATAAGAATTGAAAATGTTAAAAAAAAAACTATAGAGATTAAAGAAAATCTAATGAAGTTATAAAAATTAAAGATCGTGTTTTTTTAAAAGAAAAATGAATGTTTAAATACGTTCATGAATGAAGGTTTAGCTTAATTAGGCTTGAGTTAGAAAACATCTTTGGGAAAATAAGAGAAGTATTTGGTTTCAAATTTGATCTCATCTAATTCATGTTACTCGAAATTCATTATAAGTTCAAATACAGGTGATTTAGTGTATAAGAAAAAAATTGGAAAGTCAAAGTGAAAAACTGTGTAGTGCTTATGACAATACTAATCAAATGATTATGAGGGATTTTATAGTGATTTTGCCTCACAATACCTTTTCTTTTCTTTTTTTTTTTTTTTTGTTCCTTGGAGGACAATCATCTCAAGTAAGAGACAGAAGACACGCTATCCTCTTTTGAAGCCATACCTCAAGTCATTGCTTTGTCTTTATCAAACACTGATGACATGAATTATATACGTTACTTAGTATTTTTTAAATATAGATACCTTTTCTGCTTTTTTAAAATATAGAGCCTTGTTATTTTTCACTTTAATTTCATTTTAATTTGTATTGAAAAAAACACATTTTTCCCAAAAAAATTGGATGCCAGTCTTAGTGTAGAATTTGTCCTTTGTCAAAAGCAAAGAAAGATCACTCCTACTAATAAAACCGTGCAATTTTCTTCTGGTAAACTCCAGTTAATTCAGTTTTTTACTTTATAACGAAGTGACCATGAAAATATAAAGCCAACTATGCAGGCAAGTACTCTTTATTGGTATCTTAAGTATTTCCAAGCAACTGCAGCTAACTTGATTATATTAATTACTTTTGCTTTTCGTCAATAGACAGCCTGGGTACCATAATGCTGCTCTCAAACATAAGGTTTTGCGTTAACTTGAAAGAAGCACAAAATACATTACACAAAATTCATAGAATATTAATAGGTACATCCCACTTACTATATTTTAGTACATGTAACGAAAGACAATTAACTTGCCTCCAATAACTATACCATGTGTCATTGTGTTGTAGTTGAGTGAGAGGAAGATCTCTCCCTTAATCTCTCACACTTAGTACATAGTTCAGTAATGAAGGAAGATCTCTGTCTTAGTTGTAAGATACTATCTTAATAGTTTCATGGTTGTGATAAACCTAAATTGTCTGTTGGATACTTATAATGATATAAACTGACTAATCCTTTTGCTACTGCAAGAATCGCTATATCAGGCCTTAATCAATAACATGTTGGTAAAGTTGTTGTCCATGTCTGGTTCGTCATGCAGAAGATTGGTCTGTCTTCTGCAGGATAGATGAGAACCTCCAAGCTGCATGTAGAACTTTGTCAAGCAATGAGACACTGACTAGTCTGTAATTTTGAAATACATGAAGAAAATGGGGTTGGGAAAAGGATTAAACACGTATCTCAGGGAAAAAAAAGAAAAGGAAAAAACAGTAAATCCTTGCACTTTGATTGTATTTTTTTTTTAATTTCTGTAGTTTTATTTCATTTTTTTTTAGTTCCTTTTGTTTGATCTATCTGTAACGTTAATCTCTATAATTTTAAAAATGTACATAAAGACAAAGCTAGCATTGACAGAATTAATTTTGCTGTAAATAAACTAACCTTATTGCTGATGAGAGGATAAAAAATATACTGATATAGAAATAAATTGACTAGATATGATTAAAAATAAAAGGTAAGGGAAAAAGCTTTTTTGTATATTTGGATTAAACAGACTGCAGGAGATGAAAACCAGATTAAGTACACATCAATAAAGGAATTAAAATATAGTTAAATACACATCGACAAATTGAAGTGTTTGGTGTTAAATGAAGACTAAAATAATAAGTACAGAAATGAACAGATGTTCGTTTTCCATGAATCTATATCACAGAAATGCAGAGATCATGCAAAATATCTGATGAAATGTCTAGCAATAGCTTACATGACTTACTTGTATTGTGTTATCCAAACTGATCCGAGATTGCTGGTCAATGGTCGGTTTCTGGAAAGTATGAAGCCATAAATAGACATAATGCCTTAAAGAGAATTAAAGAAATTCCCTCATTTGGGCTATTTTCTTTGGCTCAGGAAGCCATATCTTTAGACCTATAGAGCCATAGACCATTAATAAGCAGGCCTCATAGACTCTAAAGATATACATATCCATGGCTAAATTTCTTACCACATAGACCAATGATGTAATATGATTCAGATGGGGTGTGTAGTGGATCTCACCACCTAAAACACCAAGTTAAGTGAGGTTTAATTTCCACCTATATTGGGTGTAAAAGGTTTGTTATATAAACACAGCTTAATGTCACGGGTCATCCGTGACATTAAGGCCTTATTCCTGCAGTTGCCATATAAAAGGTTGTTGTCAGAGAAGTGATAATTGAGGATACATAGTAGTTTGGCTAGAGTGAGAAACCATGACAAAATAACTGGCAAGGTTTTCAAATATATTTTGCCATGGTGGGATAACATTTCATATAAATGGTAATCCCTCAGCGAAGTATATAGAACTATGCAAGTTGGAGATAAGGGTAAAGTAAATGGTCCTAGGACATGCCATCACATATAGGGATGGCTGCATAATGTAGAAGCCACAACATCTCATTTACTTAGTATAATGATACTTACCTGCCTAAATTGAGGCGATAATCAATAGATCATTCTGTCTAAATTAGGCAATAATCAATCGATCATTTTACTAAGTTCAGAGGTTTTGAAGCTCCTACAGATTCATAGTCTTTATGCAAGACAAGATCTGAGGAAGGCTAACATGGGGAAAGCCCCAGCTAGCCAACCCATGACCTTCATAACCAAACTTCCTGAAAGAAAAGTTTTAGTCATCACAAATAAACCTATTGTGAAACAGAAACAACCAGCTCTTTCAACTAAAGCTGCAAGCCTTGGATTAGATTGACTCAGAAAATATCCAGAGAGTGAAGCTGCAAAGGCAATAACCATTGCTGCCCCAAAAAAAGGAGTTAGATCCTTAGATGATGACCCTGATGAAGAAGAAGGAGAAGAAATTGTCTGAAACTGAGCCAGAGCAGCCTGAAAGGCCAAGCCAATGAAAAGTTTTGAAAGGCTTGAGGAATTCTTAGTGTTGAGTCTCAGTGTTTCTAACTCAAAAGAGCTCGCATTCATGTATAGAGGAAGGAGGTGGTCATTAGAATATTGGTTGTGAGCTGATCTGAAGGATCTCATTCTAGTAATGTAGGTAGGTGAGAAGGGTATGGTATCAATGAGGCTCCCATGGGATTGGGATCTTGTTGGTGCCAGCCTTGTCCACCATGACTTAAAAATCATTTTAAAAAAGGAAAAAGAAGGCATGGAAAACAGAGAAAGGAGATAACACTTGTTTAAAACAACTATGAAGCTATCTTCTGGTTATCAATTCTACTTAAGGAATATGATAAGGAAGGTTCTAGAGCAAGCTAAGTCAAGATGAATGAGGAATTGATGAAGAAGACTTGATTAATGGCGCCAACAGTACAGGAATATTATTGTTCATCTGTCAATTTTCATTCCACTCACCATTTCCCCCACAATGCCTCTCTCTTTTTCTCCTTGAACACTTTTGGCCCCATATGACATGACTTGTTGTGTTAAAGTAATATACATACATGATTGTGAAATTGATGCAAATGTAATTGGTATATACAGTGATTTATCTCACAATTAATAATGTGTATTAAATAATAGGGTAAGACTTATGTACTTAACCTTGTATGCTTGACATATTTTTATCCAATCAAATCAAGACAAGTAGATTTTAATTTGTTAATAATAATTTTTTTTTGTAGAATAAATAATCCAAAAGATCCACAAGTTTTGATTTAATTAAAAACAAGCACTTTATACATATAAAACTAAACATATAAGTTTTTCCTAAATAATAAATATTGAATAACTTATATGTGCTCTATTTAAATTTTATTAAAATTGTATAGATCTCTTTCCTACTTTTTGAAAATACATAGAAATGTTGGAAATTTCGTTTTTGCCCTTTAGAATTAAAGTAACCGCACTGTTTCTTTGACCAGGAGGAAATAAAAATAGCCCACTGTTTCTGCTATGCTTGTTCTTTATCAATTTCACTCCCTGTCAAATAAAAAGGGAAAGGTGGGGGTAATCTTATGATGCAACCATTACTCCATTAGTAATTAACAACACTATCTGTCCCTGCGGTCAAGAGTCCCTATTCATAACTTGATCTGTGGTTCCAACTTCTTAGATAAGTTTCCACCAAGATGAACATATTGAAAATGACAAGTGCTAACTAATTGTAATTGTAAATTCATAGAACCTTAAATTAAACCAAAGAAAAGATGTTTGACGGAACTACTTTGGTCACAAAACTTCGCACTACACAGTTCAGAGTGCATTTTTGGGCCTTTTCCCAGTCATACAGTAATCCTTAAGGGGAAAATAAAGGAGATCACAAGTAATATATAATGAACAGGTGCCAATATATGTATCAGATACAATACACATTAGATATGTAATAAATTTTAATTTTTTAAAAACTATAAAATACGATACGTTTTCAATACGTGTATATATATTTATAAAAAAATATTTAAAATATAATTTAATTTAGAAAATACCCACATTAGCATACATATATAGTCCCTTATAATAATACCAAGCAAAATATAATCGTAACTATACTTTTATTCTATTTATACTTAATTGTCTATCACCTAATCTTTACTAACAGGTACTACTATCAAATATTCTACTCCTTGACCAATATACATTCTTACATTTTTATAATTAAGAAAAATATAATCTTCATTTTTTATTATATTCAAAACTATTTTTAAAAGAAAAATATAATCTTTGACTTAAAAGAAAATAAAAAAATGATATTAGCAATAAAAAGTTTGATATCTCAATTTTTAATTAAATTTAATTTTTTTAAATTTTTATTTTAAAGTATCAATTCACAATTTTATAAGTGTTAGATGCGTAAAGAAAATTAAATTTTTTAAATTAAAAAAATTATTTTGATATTTTAGGGACACGTATAAAAGAAATGTTAGTATCAAATATGATATTAAACGATATACGTAACATAATTTGAAGTATTATTGCTTCATTATTTATTGGTATCAACTATAGTTGATGTAGTGTTCTGCCTTTAATGAAATGACCATGAAGGCCTAGATAAAGCCAAATGTAGTTTACTTGATTAATTGTCGCTTGACTTTGTTTTCAACATTATAAAGGTTTGATTCCATAATAATGGCTAGCAACATTGCAGGGAATCTCTTTTAGTATTTGGCTCATAATCATCTCTTTAGACTTCAAGAAAGCAATATACCATCCTTCCTTTTAACTTTTTTTAATTCTTGGAGGAAAAGCAACTAGAGGAAAAGAGACCTAAAGGCAATGTTGTGGGATCCGACGCTTGTTTTGGGGTCTTTTGCTAGGTTTCAATTGGAGCAATTCGTCTACACGCTGATTGATCGGCTTGATTTACTGAAACAACTTTGGTCCTCCATACAAATATGACACATGCTGATGCAAGAGTGGAACCAAGACTAAAAAGGATATATGTAGTATAAAGTTTATGAAATTTTGTAGGTAAAAAATGTATTACACCTATATAGTAAATATTAAAAAAAAAATAGAAATCTTGGAAAAGTCATGACCCTGCCAATCGCGCCTTCTTTGATTTATTGCAACAGCTTTGGTCATACAATGTGACATGAAAGGGCAAAGTCAGGATTTTGTTATGACAAGAGACCAAAATTAAAAAGAATATACTGCTTAAAGTTTGCATAATTTTGGGAGGTAGAAATGTATAACACTTATATATATTAAGAAAAATTGAAATTGGAAGTCATGGCCTTGCTTGTGGGCTTCCCTCCATCACTGATGATTACATGTGATTCCCTCCACTCCACCACTTTGATCACTCGATTGGTTAGATAACCTCTATGTTCCTCTCTTGTAACATTTGCATCCCAATAAAAGCACCTATTATGTACAAAAATTTAAA